TCGGTCTAGACCTGCTCTATTTGAAAAGTGTCCTGAGATAACTTCTGTTATGAATTGGCGCTATACAAATAAAATTGAATTGAACTGAATTGAAATGTGTGTGTGTGTGTGTGTATGTGTGTGTGTGTGTGTGTTGTCCCATCAGAAACAGGAGGCAGCAGCCACAATTCTCCGGAACTCTCTCGACTAAGACCAGTACGTGCCGTTTTCTGTATTGGTGAATATATTTTGGGTAGAACAGCAAGCCTTGAACTATAGCTGTCACAGTATCATATTTTTACTACATGATTATTGTGCCCAAAGGAATTAACAAGAAAGATATTGTAAAATGTATAATCCACCTCTCCAGCTCCACCCCCAGTGCTACTTGTAATTGTATAAATGATCCTCGAACCGACAGGGATCAGTGATAATCAACCTGTCTCTCTCCTCCCTCTGGACCGTTTTAGTGTCGGCCGCCTCCTCCTCCCCCAACACAGAAGCCTTCATCTCAGCCTTGAGACAAAGACTGGAGTCACTGTTTTTTAGGACCAAAAGAACACTAGTTTTGTGCCTTTTATTGCAGCATTAAACAAATAACTTGTATTTGTTTGTTAGACCTTTTTAGATTTTCCCGTTGGTCAACATGGCTCACTTGATGAACTTTCAGGAAATTGCAAAATTCCCATGTGTCCTTCGAGGGATAAGTGAACCAACATTCAATATAACATTAACATTTAAGTAGCAGGGATAAGTACATGATTATCTGTATCTGTATCAATTCAACCAACTAAATTATCTGTTTTTGTATCCGTTTAGGAAGGGGCGGGGCTTAAACCAGACATGGGTGGTGCTTGAATCAGGAGCAGGTAGGACTAAAAGGGAAGTTGTTCATTTTAACCTGAGTTGAAGTTGCTATATTTATTGCTATAAAGATTTTATTTGTATTAGAAAAGTAGTTAGAGAATTTATCTTCAGAGCAATGTTTTTGATTACAAGGGTGATCTGACTGTTGTTTTTTTTTATAAAAGGTGGTATATTTATGGGTGCGAATTTTCAATATTTTTACTTTACATGATACTCGTTTTCATAAAGAAAGTACATTATCTGTACCAGATACCTATTTCAGCCGAGTACTTGCCCAACCCTAATTAAGTAGAGTTCTAATTCATTTCTAATACGTGTTGTAACTGGGGAAAAATTTATGAATATTTACAATTATGACAGACAACTCAAGTGGTGTGTA